TTAAAAAAACACCCAACTCTACTACAACTTTTTATCTAATTTCAAGGAAGCTTTTCCTTGCTGAAACCAGTATTTGGCATCTGAAATGGACCAGATGAGGGCAATCAAATTGGAGCTTTATGCAGACAAGACAGATATTCTCATCTGGGAAGAGAGATTCAGCCTGTGTTAGATGGGGTCACACTTCCCTTGAAAATGCAAGTTTGCAGTTTGTGGATACTCCTGGATTCGGCTCTGAACCTAGGGGCACAGATATCAGTAGTCACCAGGAATGCTTTTGCAAAATTAAAGCTCATGTGCCAACTGTGCCCATTCCTGAAGTAGTTGGATCTGGCAATCGTAGTACATGCCTTGGTCACATCCTGGTTAGACTACTGTAATTCAGTCTACATAGGGCTGCCTTTGAAATGTGTTCAGAAACTTCAGGTTTTCCAAAGAGCAGCAGCCAGACTGCTAACTGAGACTGGCTACAGAAAGCAGACAACTCCTCTGTTGCAACAGCTCCACTGGTTGCCATCGCATTTCCGGATACAATTCAAATTGCTTGTTTTGACCTGTGAAGCCCTATATGGTATAGGTCCAGATTATTTGATGGACTGCATCTCTCTCTATGAACTTGTCAGATACTTTTGGTCATTTGGGGAGGGTCCTTCTTCTGTTCTATCAACCACTTAAGCATGCTTGATGGGAACACAGGAGATGACCTTTTCCTTGACTGTTCACAGACTTTGGAGCTCTTTCCCAAGAGATAACAGGATTGTCCCATCTCTGCTTGCCTGTCACAAGCAGGTCAAAACATACCTCTGCCATCAGGCATTTAGGAAATGATGAGGAGCAATCCTCTAGGAATGCTGTGAGTGGGATTTTGGGGGCTCTCTGGTTTTAAAATGTTATTTTAATTGTATTTGAACTGAATTTTATTTATTACTGTTATTTTGTTTATTTTTGTTTATTTTGTTTATTACTGTTAAATTGTTTAATTTGTTTCTTTGTTAACTGTTTTTAAGTACCTTGTTGATGCCGCATTGAATTTTTGCCTTGATTGTTCGCCTTGTTTTTGCTTGTTGTAAACCACTATGAGTCGCCTTAGGGCTGAGAATGGCGGTATACAAATGAAGTAAATAAATAAATAAATAAATAAATTTTAGCTTTTACATTCATGATACAAATATTTACTTGTTTTTAATGTCATAACCACACATGTGTGCATGTGCGCGCGCGCGTGTGTGTGTGTGTATATATGTATGTGTGTGTGTGTGTGTGTGTGTGTGTGTGTGTGTGTGTGTGTGTGTGTATATATATATATATATATATATATATATATTTCTTGCTTTTAAATTCTATTGTATTGTGCCATGTCATTGTTAGCTGCCTTGAGTCACTATGGGAAGAAAGGCGGAATAATAATAAAATTAGTAGTAGTAGTAGTAGTAGTAGTAGTAGTAGTAATAATAATAGCAACAACAACAACATACTTAGGTTTACCTTGGAAGTTCCTCTTCCTCATGGAAACTCCATCTTCCCTATCACCTTGAAAGAATGTGCTGTGACTAAACACTCCAAATTCTTGTTTCGTGTTTTGGTTATGCAGTATGCTGCTATAATCAGATGATAGCGTATACGTGGAAAAAATAACATAAAGTAATATTAAACTAAACGGTCCCCACCTTCTTTCTGCTGCACCCTCCTTGTTATCTCTTTATTCCGTCCTCAAGAGGAACAAATTCTCAGCCCTTCCCTCCCCCTTGACAGCCACTCGATGCCTCTTTGGGGACGTTACTGAATCCGCCCTGCTGCATTAGCCGAAGTGTTGCCCTTTCATGGATCCAGGCACAAGGCCAGTGGCCTCCCACTCAACGGGTGGGCAAGGCTGCGAACAGGACGGTATATTTACAAACACCTCTGCTCCATGGCCCTAACAGCTGCTACAATGCTGGGGTGATGAGGGTGAAAAGATCCATTTCCAGAACCCTGACATCCAACCCATCCCAGGCTTCTCCCTCCCTCCTGTTCCCCTTCTTTGGTGAATGGATTCCAACAGGCTTCACTGAGTTGATTTAAGCAGCTCGGCCATCCCCGAGGAACACGGAAACCACCCGTCAGTGCTGACAGATGTGTTTCTCATCATTACTGCACCTGTGTACAAAAGCCTTAATTTCATCTTCACCTCAAAGAAAAGAATTTCTGGTAGGCATTTCCATATCAGAAATTGCCCTGCAGCATGGAAATAGAAGAAAAAGCTTGCAACAATTGCACACTTCGAAATACAATTGCAAATCGCAAACTGTCTACACTGCGGAATTATAATAGTTTGGCACTGATTTAAAAGACAATGCTCCATCCTCTGAGATCTTGAGATCTGTAGTTTTTGTGGCACCAGAACTCTATGATAGAAATGGGTAAATATATCATGAAACTACAAACCCCAGAATTCCATAGCAAGGCAGTTAATGTGGTGTCAAACTTTGAGAATTCTGCTTTGTGGTTTCAGCCTAAGACAGCACAATTCATGACATCGCTTATTGTGCATTATGACATATGGTGCATTGGGACACATGTAATGGAACCCTCGCATACAACAGAACATCTCACACTGTTGTAGATGGTTGCAATTCAGTAGCTTGACAGTGTATCATATCAATGATGTAGCTTCATCATTGTGCATTGTAGCCACTAATTCAAGATCTCAGCCTCTGTTCACTGTAGTAGAGTTGAGGAAGCATGAAAGACTACTTCTCATCTTGTACGTGATGCCTTTTGATAAAAGATAATGGGGTGGAGTATGGGGGGAGTACAGTCAGTCCTTCATATCCACAGATTCTCTATCTATAGTTTCAACTATCCATGGCTTAGAAGTATTTTTCTAATTTCAAAAAGCAAATTGGATCTTGCCATTTTATATAAGAAACAGCATTTTACTACCTCCCTGTATATAATGGGATTAGAGCATCCACAGATTTTGGTATGATTGGAGGTCCTGGAACCAAAACCTAGGAGATACCAATGGCCCACAGTAAGTCGTAACAGGATCAAGTATGTGTGTGTGTGTGTGTTAAAGAAAAGTTTATGCTGTTAATTATTATGTGTAGCTGCTAATGTAGGTCAACTAGTAAGTTTGGACCACACCCGGTAGGGTTCTAACTGTATTGTTTTTAGAATACAGTTCAGCTTTTGCTCTGAAGTGCCTTTGCTCAGACATTTTGCTCAATCATTTCTACTGCTCTCTCATTTGGATGAAGATGAAGAAGCCTTATTCTGTATTTCTTACAAGGACTACGTAAGTTTGTTGCACTGTTTGTTTTAGTTTGCAACATTACAAGTTTATGTTTTAACTCTGCTGATAAAAGTTTTTCTGTTCTTTTTCCTTATGCCTGGATGTGTTCTCTGCATTGGACCTGACTGGAACACGCAATGCGCAACATATATTACTTACTTGGATCATAGGATGGTGCTTGCAAAAAGTGCTTGGTGGACATACGGGTGGATGCATTTGAACAGTAAAAGAGAAATAGTCTGCCACTCTGAAATTTGAAATTGTATTATTTTCTTCTTTCTCAGAGTCCCTGAGAAAGGAGTTTAATCCCCTGAAAATATAAATCAACCCCCTAAACTCTAGAGTAGTGACTGTGTGCTGTGTCACTGTTATCATCTTATTGATGGCCATCTATTTTTTTTCAAAGCACCACTTAATGAAATCAGACACATAAATTGTGTAGTTTGAAAATTGGTATTATGAATTTGGAATGCTTCCACCAAATGATATAATGGGGTGCAACTACACTGTAAAAATAATTATTGGTGCTGCTTTATCTGCCATAATTTAGTGCTATGGATTCAGAAGAAATGTAGTTTTACAAGTTCTTTTGCCTTCTCCGCCAAATTACAAATCCCATAGCATTGAACCATGGCAGTAAAAGTGGCATCAAATGAATGAATCCTACAGTGTAGATGCACTCCATGATGATAAAATGTCTAAAAACCAAGTTTTGTGTTGAATGGTTGAAAGAACCGGGTATGTTTAGCCTGAATGTTTAGCCTAAGAGAAAACTGAGGTAGTAATAACTGTTTGACATTAGAAGCAATTGCCTAGAGAAGATGGCCAACTTGAGTATATAACAGGAAGGGAAAAGAAGCAGAGTGACCATTGGCTATGTAGCTGAAAATCATGTGGAAGAGTTGAAATGTGGACCATCCCCGAATAGTACAGTAATTTCACCAGAGAAAAAAATGAAACTGGTAATGGCAAACTCACCACACTGTATGTGATATGTGTGGTGTTAACTGAGGCCACATCTACACTGTCATATAATCCCGTTTGAACTGCATTATAATGGTCAGTACAGAGTAATATAACACAGATTGTAGCACATTGAGCTGAATTATATGATCTCCACTGCCGTATATCCAGTTCAATGCCATTAAACTGCATTCTGAAACTATATTATGGCAGTGTAGATAGGGCCAGAGTCACTTCAAAGCAAATGTGGACCAAGAAAATATGGTCCAACCAGGGTTTTTTGGTAGGGGGTGTTGCCAGTGTAAATGAGCCCCTGTGATTGTCTGGGAGCAGGTTGTTAGAGCATATAAGGAATCAGTGTCTCTCTGTGTGTATGTCAACTATAAAATAAGATGCATGCAGCTGATTGATCAGGCTATACCGGGGAGCAGGCTGAGCCTGGGACTTTTGGATCCGGTTACATTTTTGTTCAGGCTTCAGCTATGCAGGGGCTTGGAGCAGCAGAGTGAAAGAGAGAGAGGCAGAGTTTGGAGTATGCTCTTGCTTCATGAACTGCTGAAGGAGTTTATCTACATGGACAAAGAAAGACCATTTTGAATCCCCAAAACAGCTACCTTTACCAAAAAGGAAGATGCTTCCTTTTTAATTTAAGTCATGGAAGGTGAAAGGAAATACCCTACATATTAATGATAAGGATACATGTTGTACTCTGAAAGTTTAACCTTTCAAAGGGCTTTCAAAAAATCAGAGAAACATCCAGAAGTTTATGTTATATTAATTTTTAATTTTAAAAAAGAAAGATTTATTCATGAAACGTTGGAAAACAAAGAAATGTAATAAAACAATTGTGCATGCATTTTTGAACACGGCAGATACAGACACACAGCTGAATTCTTCTAATATCATGCCTTAAGCATTCTCTTGCCACATACTATGGGTAGGGGGAACTCCTTCACAATACAGTTAAGGGTTGTCCCAATTCATTTTATCAACTTTTTAAGATGCTTTTAAAAATTCCTTCTTTCATTTTCACTCATTGTTCTCAACTTACCCCAGTTGGTAAAAAAATAAATTCAAAATGCAAAAGTAGTTTGTACTCAAGTAATTCTATCTGGGAAAGTGGTAGCAGAATTTTGCACTTCCAATAGACTAAAAGGCAAACTGCTATAGCCTCTTCTAGCTTGTGTGTTCATGTTCAGATTTCAACTATCAAATGTTGGAAGGTATGTTTTCATCTCTTCAAAATGTATATCCCACAATACATCTGTTGCAAAATGTTTTGTAGAGATTCAAATTTCTGGACTTCTGGTTTGAATAATTGAAAAGCAGTTTACAGACTGATTCTCTCCCCACCCATGGAATTTCTGCCACCAACATTGCATTAGCATTAAGATTAAAAAATTCCTCTAGATAAAGTATAAAATTTGCCAAAGTTTGTAGCTTTAAAAGTTTGTAAATTAAAATTAAGACACTGCAGGTCTTTCAGTTTTTACATAGTACTCTTAATTTTAATTTCATTACCTTTTTGAGGTTTGCCTTGCTTTTATCCACTAGACTGTTGGAGGGGTTTTGAACGAACCTGGTAAACATGGTAAAATTGAGCATGGGGAACTTTTGAGTAAAACAAAAAACTTTTTCCCCATTTTTGAAGCGTTCTAGGGACCTTATCACATGGAAGTTTCCCTTCGTTTTCTCTTCGTTTTAGCACATTGGCAAAATAGAGTCCCCCTGAGGCCACACAGCTACTTCCAGTGGCCATCCATGGGAATCCATCTTGCCAGCATGCTAAAACGGAGAGAAGATTCAATTTTAATGTTACCCGATTCCTGACTCATGAAAGTGTGGGGGAAGCGGGAAGAAGGTTGTGAGTTGTTTGGCTATCGTCAAAGATGGACTTTGCCAGGAGAAAAAGGGATACGACGGATCTCCACTTTTCACAACACTTTTCCCTGCTTCTCTCCCAATGATCTGATGAAGTCTTAGGTTTCCTCTTGAGGGGCCCCAACAGCCTTACGTGCAGGCCATGAGCCAGTTTGCTCACTTTTGTTCCAGATGGGATTGGACTATGACTCCACTCTTCAGTGGCTATACTGGCCAGGTGAAATGGAAATTGCAGTTGAACATATTTCTCTTCCCACCCCACAATAGGGGGAGTTTAATGCTCTTCTCCCCCTGCCTATCAAATTGTTTCAGCTTTATTGCACTGTCACCAGGGGATCTTTGGGGCTCGCCTCTGCTCGCCATGGCCGATCAAGGTAGCTGAGCACCCGGCGGATTGGGCCACGCTTTGTGGGATCCAGAGCCAAGAGGTTCTGTAACATTGCGATGGCATCTTTTGAGAGCGGGCGCCAGTGATAAGGTAAATCTTCATCCAAGCCAGATTCCTGCCAGATCAAAAAGTCATCAAAGAATGAATCCTCAGGCACTGTCTTCTCCCAAGGGAAGTAGCCGGTGAGCAGGCAGAAGATCAACACCCCAAGAGCCCAGGCATCCAAGCTGGCATCAATGGGCAGGCCTGGGGTATCGCCAGTGCCACGGCTCAGCTCAGGGGCAGTGTAGGGGATGATGCCAGCTACAAGACGCAACAAGGTACCTTGGGGTCTTGTCAAGCCAAAATCGGTCAGTTTAATACAATGGCAATGGCGGTCAAAAAGCAGGATATTTTCGGGCTTCACATCTCGGTATACAAGGCCTCGGCTGTGGATGAAGTCCAGTGCACTCACCAACTGCTTGGCACAGAGCTTAGCTGCTGGCTCAGGGATCCCCGCCTGGTCACATAAGAGAAGATCATTTGTTTTTATATCAGGACTTCTTACCTGTCTATTACCTTTTAGCCCCCTATCATACTACACTGTTATAGCACTATACTCCACTTTAAATGCCATGACAGCATCCTCTGGAAATCTCAGGTTTGTGGTTTAGTGCACAAGCTCAGTGGAAGAAGTTTTAAATGCCTCTCTAAACCGATTCCATAGGATGAGACTATGGCAGTTAAAGGTAAGTATATTAATATAAAAACATAGTTGATGGAGACCTAAGTAACTGAAACTCAATATGGTACAACCCCTGGAACCAACCTGTAGAACCAATAGCCATAATTTCATTTATTCACTTCCAACAAAATATCCTCTTTAGGCATTTTCTAGATCCTCACTATGGTATTCCTGAGCCAGAAGTTGTTCAATTAAATAGAATTCACTATTTGTGCAGTTTCATATATCCATGCAAAATCCAAGAATGTTTCTCCCACAGGTACTGGAATCATACTCCTCTTTGCATTTGAAAGAAAATAATCCATCTCAATAGGTCTGGCTCTGTGTTATGTCAAAAGACCAACCTGCATCAGACAGGTAAACATGTCCTTTTTTAAGAACATGCCCATATTGGTTAAAAAGAAACAAAACATGGCTTTGTTAAGAATTGTGTTTTTATCTCTTTAATAAATTGTGGCTTCTAATATGGGATACTAAAGTTTAAATTATTACTTGGGCATATAAACCAACTGAATTATCTGGGCCAAGTCACCTCTCTCAGCCTCAAAGGAAACAACACTTTGAACACTTCTTGCTAAGAAAACTTCGTAATTTTATCACCATAAGTCAGAAATGATCTGAAGGCACCTAAAAACAAAGTCCTCATAATTTCAGAAACAAAGCAATATTAATCAATTTAATCAGAAGGCAACAAAGTATATATCCACTGGAAAGTATATATCCAATCGATTAGGGAACCCCTTTACTTGATATTACCCGCCCGCCCCCCATTCTTTAGACCCATACCTGTTTTTTAAACTATACGTTTAACTTGTTTTTTTAATCTGCTTTCTTTTATAACATGTTTTTAATCTGCTTCTATATCTGGCCAACTTGGGAACTGTGATTCCCTTTCCTTGGGCACCTGTGCCCCATTCTATGTTGTGCTGGTCATAGACCATAATAAATCATTGATTGATTGATAGAGTGACACTATGTCATTCTGCCTACCTCTGTTTGCTTTTTGTGAGACTTTATCATTCCTTCCTACCCAAAATGTAATTCCTTATTTTATATGAAGCATCTTTGGCAAAAAAAAAAATCTATAGATTCCTTACCTTGGGTTTGATGATGGATATCAGGTCTTTGTGCAGGGCTGCCTCATACAGAAAACCATAGTGTTGGCTGGATTCTATAGCAATGCCAAACATGCCAATGATGGCAGGGTGCACAGAGAGTGAAAGTGCCACACAATATTCATACAAGAAGTTCTGCAACTTGGTGCTTGCCTTAGGCAACAGCTTGAGAGCCATTGGAGTCCCTGCAAGGAAAAAGAAAATGAAAAATATGGGTGAGAGATGAGTGCTCCAAAATATCAGTAAATGTATTTTCCCTATGAATGGAAACTTATTCTAAGGCCTTACATTTAATTTTCTTTCTTTTTTTTAAAAAAAGAAGAAGAATACATTATATCTTATTGCATTCCATACCTACAACTAGGGATTGTAAAAAATAATTATTACTTTATATATATTCTGTTGGAAATAGCAACCTTCTCAAGCCTCCACTAGTTGTTTGTTATGTCTATAATTGCTTACTGTTTTGCATGTGTGTATTGATTTGCAATTTTACCTAAGCTCTTTCTTGTAGAAAGGGCTGCAGACTATATGATCAGGTCTGGAAATGTTCAGGACTGAAACTCAATTTTAGAGAGAGTAGAAACTATTAGATTCCTAGAAGGGGGAGAAGCCGTTAGATTCTTAAAGAGAGTAGAAATCATCTATATGCTTTGAGATCAGACAGGGGGATGCTTTGGACTATGGAAGATTTTAAGGAAGATGCCCTGTGTTACCTACACAGAGAAACTACTCAAAATCCAAATGTAACTGGATTCATCAGCAAAGTGCCAGTATGCTGTATACATGAAGTTTTACGAGTAAACAAATTCTGTTACTTTTCAAGAAGACTGTTTATTTTGTCTTTGAGAGCATAAAAGGCAAATATATTTTAAAGGAGAGTAGATGTTTTGGAGCAGCTAAAGGAACACTTCTGAAACTGCTGTATGTGTGTGTGTGTGTGTGTGTGTGCGCGCGCGCGCATTGGCATGTCTTTGTTCCAGACAGTTCAAAGACATACCTAGGTACATCAGTTTAACAGCTGAGAGACCTAGTTGCGTTGCATGAATGTTGATGAATATCACTTTTCAAAACATTGTGACTTCTAACAAGATAATGCCTTTCTAGTGACCAGTGGTTTTTCACAAAGGTTATGAATCCCATTTCCCAAATGATTATGGAGATTCACATTTTCCAAAATATTCACGTATACATTTATAAGAGGGAGGCAGTTGACAAAAATGATCCCAAAAGCCTGGGTAACCTTATACATGGGTCAATGCTGGGTTGGGGATCCAGTTTGAAGGCAATGACAAGAAGCAGAAAAAGAAGCTCCCACCCCATTATCCCTCTCTCAGCCAAACCAAAGAAAGCAAGCATTCCCTTCTTTCTCTCCTATTTTTCAGCCAAAGAAGCATTCTGCAGGAATGTGGGGAAGCTTGAAGAATGTGCTCCACCTGCTATTTTGGGCACTTGAGCTAAAGTGGAATTGTGGTGACCATTTTTAATAAGTGTTAATTGCATAAGCCTCTGCAAAGAAACTGCAGCAACTATTTTTAATAGAAGCAGTCAGGCTTTTACAGTAAGCCTAGGAGAAAGGTAGAAAGTGAAAAGAGGATAAAGCAACTGGAACAATTCAAAAGCAGCTAGTAAAGTGGGATGGCAGAAAGTTATGGGCAATCTTTACTGAATCAGGAAAGCTAGAGTGTGTGTTATAGATTTCCAACCATATGGCCACATAGGTTTCTTATTGACTGTGTGTATGTGTGCATTGAAATCACACATTGACCTATGACAACCCCATGAATTCCATATGGCTTTCTTATGCAAGAAATATTCAGAGATGGTTTTGTCAGTTTGAAATATAGCCTCCAATAGTCAGTATTTGTTGGTGGTGTCCCATCCAAGTACCATCTGGATCTGACTCAGTTTAGTTTACAGAATCAGACAGGATCTGGTGCCTTTGGAGTATTTAGGGTTTCCAGAACAGATAGCACAATGTAGTTTTACCTCTCTTTCTGTGCGTCACCAGTACCACTTGGCCATATTTCCCCTTTCCCAGCTCCTTGATGACTTGGTAATGCTCTGTCACTTCCATAGGTACAAGACTCTGGGCAGTGATCTCCAACATGTCTTCTAGGAGAGCCTGGGCTTCCATACCCAAAGTCAGGTCCATGGCCAAAGTCTACAAAGAATACAAAAAAAAGGTTGCTAAGTACAGCTGAAACAAATTATTTTGAGCAGAGGGAAGAATGGGCAGAATTCAAGCTAAATAAATGTGTCGAGAAGGGTGATGGATAATATATATATAATGTGTGGAACAAACAAAAGGAGCCCCATGAGGAATTCTTATGGATTATGAACTATGACCCAATCGGCCTCTTCAAATGTTCCCTAATTAAAAAATATGCCAGAAATATTCAAGCTGAATATGTTTTTTTTCCACTATGTGCCTTTAAGTCACTTCCAACTTATGAGAAGCCTAAGACAAGAAAGGGGTCAATGCTTAATTTAGATTCATTACATATTCATGACATATTTATGAATCATATCAAAATCTATTATCTGGACCCCAAAACCAGCCTCCAATTTATGCACGAGGTTGACCTATTCATCAGCATATAGAGTACCTGTTTCTTGTAGGATTTTTTTTAAAAAAAATGATAATCTCTGACAGAAGAAAAAATACCATTCCATGTTCTGGCAGTTTTTGTTTGGATTATGTTGGAACCCAGTGAAAGGAAGGGGCCATAAAAACTTTGTGGAGGGAAGGGGACCTATGTCATTCCAGGGAAATCCAGAGAAGCTTTGTGGAATATCTAGTTCTCTCATTAAAAGGAATTATGATTTAAAATTAACATCCTGAACCCTCTTTTATGTGTACAATACATGGGGAATGGAGCTGTTCTCTACCTGTGGCTGAAGTAAAAATGCATGAACACAGAGGCACTCTTTTCTCCAGGCATTTTACAAATGTAGGGGTAATGGTGTTACCATATTAAGGTGGAAGGCTCAGGAATTAGGTCTGTAAGAAAGCCAGCCCAACAAGCGCAAGAAAATAATCAGTTTCAGATCCTAATTACTGTGGCAACTTTAGAAATGCTGAGGATAGAGAAATAAGATAACTAAAAAGAATCCACATTCCTTTGGCCAACTGTTTGAAGCCTTCCTTGGTTGCCCTTGGGTTGCTCACTAACTAGGAAAAAATGGACTGGGTGGTGTGTTTGCAGACTGAAATATCTCATTTTTGAAAGCCACATATAAGACATTATCCATTATGTAAGTATCCTGACAAGTTAAACATACCACACTGATATAACTTGCTCTGTAATGCAGAGGAAAGGGGCAGATCAGGGCTATGATGTTTCTGGAACCACAGCACCCAGTTGGAGAGCTCCAGAGAGCTCCTGACCATCTCCATCACCTGGTAAGAGACAAAGGTTCTCAGAGCTCTCTGGACTACTGCTGCAGCAACAAGAACAATTGCCCAGGTAAGGGTGACTGTGTAGTGGAGCTGAACCAGTTTTGCCCAACTGAACGGAATTCAGATCACGTTACTGCTGTGAATTGAGAGTGGAATGGAATCTGGGGCTGGTCTGGAGCAGAAATGCTTTGGATGAACCCAGTTTTGGTGAACATGTAGATGAGACTTTTGTGTGCTATAGTTTTTGAACAACCCATTCTACACATACACACATTCAACTATAATTTCTCCCATGAGTTGTGAATCTTGCTTGTTACTTCTTTTTCTCAGCTAGATTTGAAAACCAGAGGAATTGAGGTTTTGTTTCTGTCCCAGACCCCTTTAAACCATCAAGGGTGTTAAGATCTTCTGGAGAGGTCCTGCTCTCAGTCCCACCACCTTCGCAGTTGCACTTGGTGGGAATGAGAGACAGGGCCTTCTCTGTGGTGCCCCCCCCCCGGGCTATGGAACTCTCTCCCCAATGAGGTTAAGTCTGCCCCCTCCCTCCTGACCTTCAGGAAGCAATTGAAATCCTGGCTGTGGAATCAGGCATTTGCAGATTGACGACTGAGACCGGTAAAGACTAGAATTATTGGATCACAATGTGCAGATTGAGCTGGACGATGTTTTTAACTTGGCGAATGGTTTTATATGTATTTTAACTTATATATATATATATATATATATATATATATATATATATAAATCTATTGTATTATTTATGTTGTTTAAAATGTTTTTATTGTTTAGCATTGATTTTTTTGCTGTTAGCCGTTCTGAGTCCCTCCACGGAGGTAGAGAAGAACGGGATAGAAAAGTTTTAAATAAATAAATACCCAGATTAAGCTGTTCAGAACAGATTAAGCATCCTTGGTTATTACTGTGTCTCCACGACAGAGGAAGACCCCATTTTGCTCCCACAGAAATAAATAGCCTGTCAGTTTTGTTCATTTCCCTGGGAGTGCTGAAAGCTTTTATTGGACATGGAGAGAAGCAGTGAAAATGTGAAACAGAAGGGAAATGATCTGGAACCAATCCATTCCATACCCTGGCTTCCCCTCCTGGCTGGGAATGCCCTCACCCTTCACCCTTTCCATCTCATACTTGGATGCCGATACAGGAGCCACTAAACAGAGCCGGATTTTCCAAAGTGAAATGCCTGGCTCAAGTAGCACATTTTGGGGGTCGTGAAAAGAGTATTTTTCCTTTTGTTTAACTGACAGGAATGGGCACAGGTGTTTGAAGTTTTTTCTATATAATGCATCAAATGACTTGGGGCGGGGTTCAGTACTGTACACCTTGGAAGAGTGGGGGACTTACACCACTACTTCAAGCAATTTAAACATATGGTGCCAACTTTGCCAGTAAATTTAAAGTCTATTAGTATAGTCCTCCATCAGGCATCAGTGAAGCAGGACAGAAAATAGAGGAATTATTGCACCAAGACTTCCCTGGATTAACTTTGTTGCATTCTGTAGCTGTAGTCGGATCCTAGTATTGTTATGGTATAGAGACTAGCAATGACGAGCTTTCAGGGATCCTCTATAACACTTTTATTATTTATTTATTTACAGCAATTCTATGCTGCCTTTCTCAGCCCGGAGACGACTCAAGGCACAATTCGATGCCACAATAGTCATAAAATACAATTAAAAACGTTTAGCGCATGTTATAAAAGCCATGTAAATATAATTTAAAAAAACATATAACCACCAGTGACTTCCTATTAACTCATTTTCCAAAAACATTGTCTAAGCCGTTCTATGTTCATTCTTTCCTGGGTTCCATATTCATCCATTTCACTGTGTTTCCAAAGGCTTGTTCAAAGAGGTGGGTTTTTACTTTTTTTTGGAATGTCAGTAGGGAGGGAGCCCAACTAATATCCCTAGAGAAGGAGTTACATAGCCAAGGAGCCACCACTGAGAAGGCCCTGTCTCTCATCCCCGCCAGGCGTGCCTGCAACAAAGGGCCTCCCTAAAAGATCTTAAATTCCTATCTGGTTCATAAGGAGAGATACGTTCGGACAGGTAGGCTTGGCCAGAACCGTTTATGGCTTTATAGGCTAAAGCCAGCCCTTTGAATTGTGCCTGGTATCAAATTGGCAGCTAGTGGAGCTGGCGCAACAGAGGTAAATGGATAAAATGAACTTCTGTGACTATGTTAATGTTTGTATATATTTATGGTTTTATGTCCCGGCATTGAATGTTTGCCGTATATATGTTGTGCCCCTCCCTGAGTCCCCTACGGGGTGAGAAGGGCGGAATGTAAATGTTTTAAATAAATAAATAAATAAATAAATTTGTGGGCCCCAGCACTGCTTTTTTGACCCCCAAGCCTGGAGCCTCCCCTCAAAAATTGAATTGCCTCTCCTGGAGCTCCATATGGAGGATCAAATGCAGAAGAAATAATGGGTTAAATCCAGATTTAGATCAATTCAGCTAGCTGAAACAAGCTTTCCTCTTCCTTTGTTTCCATTGTAGCCATTTCAGCTAGCCCTGAAAATGTGATGATTTCTGAGAGGAATAGGCTGTAGTATGGTAACAATGAGTAATCCCTGGAATACAAGTGAAGGCACCTTGTCTAAATGTTGTGCCTTATACAATATTGGGATTGTTACTTACTACAGGACATCACTGCTTTATTAATCTCATGAATAGGGCTAGAGAACACAGAATAACAGAGTTGGAAGAGACATCCAGGGTCATCCAATGCCACCTCTTACTGTGCTGGAACACACAATTAAAAAGAAGACTTGACCATGTGCCAAGGCAGTGTTAAAAAGCTCTTACCTTCAGGTGGAATCTCTTTTCCTGAAGTTTGGATCCATTGCTCTGTCTTAGTCTCTAGAGCAGTAGAAAACAGGCTTGCTCCCTCCTCAATATGACATCCTCTCAAATATTTAAACATGGCTATCATGTCGCATTTTAACCTTCTCTTCTCCAGGCTAAAGATACCCAGCTCCCTAAGCTACTCCTCTCAGGGTTTCATTTCCAGAGGGTTTATTATTATTATTATTTGGGTCACCTTTCTCTGGACGCCTTCCAGCTTATTAATATCCAAGTGAGAGCTGACTAGGGCAGAATAGAGCAATATTATTTTGTACCTCAATATAAACACTATACTCCAATGGATGCAACCTGGAATCATATTGGCAAGGGTTTATCAAGAGGAGTATAGTGTCCACATTGAGGGAAGTAACAGTACTATTGATTCTGCTTTGATCAGACTTCACCTGGAATACTGTGTCCAGTTCTGTAACTATCATATTGATGAACTATGCATTTTCTTATCATCTGCCTTCAGCTTTGTTTATGGGAATGGACTACAATGGCATCTGGGTTGTCACAAAATTCCCGCCCATGCCTTGGGAGAAAATTGCAATTGATGAGCACACAACTTGGTAGATGAGCTTGCTGTCTGGACCAGAAATGGAAGGATGCAGGTTCTCTAATTCTGACAGGAATTCTCCACTCGCATGCCAATAGGCACAAATGATTTGCATGAGATGTATACCCACATAGCAGTTCTTTTGGGATACCCCCTTGGCATAGAGACAAAACTCTAGTACTCAGGAAGCATTTATTATGGTGCCATCTATACATGGACGAGAGCCAGTGTAGTACAGTGGTTTCAATATTGGGTAGGATTCTGGGAGACTGGAGTTCAAATCTCCACTAAACTAGGGAATCCCCTGGTTGATCCTGGGCAACTCCTACATTCTC